GAGATTGTACATTTCGTTCTAGAAAATGACTAGATTTGGAATTTCCGTAACAACACGTTTACCTTGTCTCTCATACCTACTATCAGATAGACAGTATTTAAATTTAAAGAACAAAACTAGATACATCTGAATTCAAGGGAAAAAAAGGTTAAGAGGAGAATGAAGGAGAAAAAAGAACAAGCATAAGTAAGGAAGTATTCATACCTATTAATAACCACACAAAAGGTTTGAAAGTAGTTTCCAATTCAAAAACAAAAAAAAAATAATAGAAACTCAAGTAGCTAATTTTGTTCTTTTTTCTCATCTTTAACTACTTTAACTTTCCCTAACCATCGTGAAACGAGTAAATTTAATGTTATTATTTAATTAAATTATTTAATAGTATTACACCTATATATACACTCCTGCCTCTACAGCTTAAGGTACTCGTAAGATAATAAGGAAAATAGCAAAAAATAAGAAGAACAAAAATATATATAAGACTTGTTCCCTCAATAACTTACGATCTATATGCAAAATATCTTTTTGAAATTTTGAAATTTATTACAAATAACAACCATACAAATGTATTGGCAACTAACCCCCTTAGAAATTTGTACGGGTCAGAGAAAGGAAATAAAGTAATCAATACTCAAATCGCCCAGGAAAGTTATTCATCGTGTATTCCCCTTATTAGTAACACCCCTAACGTTGACGTCATGAAGTCCACGTTGCGCTTAACCTGGGTTAACTTCTTGCGTAGGGACGAGCTTCAAGCCTGCTTAGGGGAATTCGACCTCGACATTGCGGGTACTGTGCAAGAGATGAGGAGGCGCTGGGCCCAATTCATAAACCAGGATCACAGGCCCGACGTCGTTCCACGTCTGTTAGAAATACAAACAGAACTTGAGGCCCTCACCAGATAACGATCGCTCTCTCCAGCATCTTATGCGAGAAATGTAGCCGACGAGGTACCAACGAACGAGAAGGGATTCCCACCCATCGATGCACGCATCAGTAACGACACTGGGGCCGAACAGCAAAATAGCACCGGTAGTACCAACACAAATCAGTACTCAAAAATATAATAATCATAACAATAACGTAACAATAATTACAATGAACTCAAGAACAAGAACAACGACAATAACTACCAGCCCAACTAATAGGGTGCTGCCCATGCAGCAAAGACGATATGCACAGCAAAATGCCAGCTTAAACGGCTGCTTATCAGTTGGAACAGGCAAACCCTTCAGCAAAAGCAACTTTGACCTCAACAACAAACAACACCTCAGGTCAAAGGTCTTTCATTATGGAGCGAACATGTCCATAAGGTCATGAAAGATCGTGCATTGGAGGAAGTCTATAGGTAGACGAGGAGCTGTATATGATGTGAGAATGGGCAGCCGAACGGTCCAGCCGCCGACGTACCCGCAGGCGCGGAGAAGCACCCACCATGCCGTAGTCTTTTCGCCAACTGGCCACCCCGCGGAAGGAGTAGCATCAATCACTCCCCCGAAGAACGGAGGATCTGTGAGGAACCAAAGTCATCCCTCGTTTTGGCCTCACAGGTTCTCCGCCGATCAGGTGGAGGTGTTAGAGTCAAGTAAGGCTTAAGTTAAGTTTAGGTTACTTTAAAGTTAAGTTTAGACTAGCAGCGGTTTAGGATTACGCAAAAAGAAATTAGAGCAAAGAGAGAGAATAGTTAGTTACGAAGAATTAGTTTTTAAGCCGAAGTTTAGTTAAGTTAGGTTGGTAAGTTAGAAGGAGTTGGCCACGGGAATTGCGAAAGAGTAGACGTGTAATTAAACTAATGGTGGTGCTAGGCCTTTAGATTAAGAACAGTGCATTTATCGATACAGGAAAAATTAAGAAATATAAAGAAATAATGTTGAAATAAACTTGCTCTAGAAAAGTGAAACTTGCGGAGAAAGGAAAACATGTGAATATAAAAGAACGTGAAAGAAATCCTGAACTATAATTTTCTTTTCTAAGAACCACTTTAAAGAAATTTTTTGTGAAATACAACCTGAAGTCGCTGAGCTAGCCCAGCAATAGATTAATGGGCAAATCAGTCCCTCACAACACGTATAATTCTATCAAATATTTAAGTACAAAATTGGAATAATTCAATAAACCTATTCCTATACTGATCGAGTCTCCAGCTATTGTTCAGCAGTTGGTAATTCTAAATCTACTATTTTCATTTCGTGCGGTGCATCACCGCTTTGGTTTGCATTGTCTAAAGACGTAAAAATATATACAAGCTGCTTTTTAAGCGTTCGCGGGCTTATATATTTTTACCTAAGTTACGCATGTCCTATCAATTTAGGGATGGAATACTCTCAGAGTATCCTCTTGGAGCACACCACTACAGAATGTGTAATATATCCTTATCCTAACGTCCCGTGAACTAAGAGATTTACTCACTTCCTTTTGCCTATGCAATTTGTTCGTACTATGAAGTTCCTATTTGTTGTGGCACCGTAATTTAACTTATCAGACAACATCACCAAAAAAAAAGAAACACCTACATGCGTTGATTTGCTTATCCTTCATCCAGACTATCTTTAATTATCATGACTTACAATTAAATTAAAATGTCCACTACCTAATTTCACTATCATCATTTATATTCATTCATCACTTATTATTATATTATAATTTATATTTGTATTTAAGATATTTGTTTTATTTTGAACCAATCCGCGCACACGTCTGCACATGTCGGCAGCGAAAAGGAGAAGCACGACTAACGTAAATATCACTCTGTAAGTCATGTCGATTAGTACCCTTATCCTGATTGGCGTTGTCAATCTATCTTTCGATCTGATTTAATATCATCTGTTTCGAATGAGATCCCTAACTGCCAAACTTTTTTCATGGTCATAATTAAAGGTATTTACTCTATACTCAGGAAAACGTACTACAAACAATCTAATCTAAAGTTTAGGCCCAAACCGCGCTCCGTCTTTGGTCGTCACAATTATGCCTTTCACGTAACTTTCACAAAAAAAAAAGAACATCTGCAATGAGAATAACAACAAACTGGAATTTTAACCCACTTTTAAAGCAACTTCATTTTACGCTTTAGGTAAGTAGGTAATTGAAAAACATTCTCTTACTGCATGGGAATACTTGTTAATCTGTCCAAATAAAAACTAATTTCGAATTTTAATACTATCTGATACTAAACTAAACGAAGTTATCACAAGAATGGAAATTTTTTATAAGTACATAGCTTCAACCATGTTTCACAAAATCTCTCATTTTTCATAATTCAATAATTAAAAATATTGATTTTGGGGTGATTTCCATTTTTCAATCTGAGCCATATGTGCTAATTTCTATCTTTCTACTTCAATACTAACAAAAGACGGGAAGCAAGACCCACGGATGCCGACGATTAAGTTAACTCAGAATTTACAGCTAATGAGAATATATAACTTTTAAAGGTGGAAGTTTAATAGTGACAATTAAGCCGTTAAAAGAAATTTAATTAAACAGTTTAGCAATTTTTTTTTACTACGGAATCGACTTTTTTTCACTAATCTCCACGTGCATAATTTCATGCATTTTTTATTGATTTTTGCTTCTATAAGGAAAACTAGAGATGAAAACTTTGCAATTTAATATTGCATAATCAACACCGCTCAAAAAATATCCCAAGGTATATAAAGGAAGCTTTTTGAGTAATATCGATCCGTTAGAATAACGAAAATACCGAATCGAATAGGACCCATTTTAGATACAATAGCATTTCTGTATATGATAGCATTTTAAATTTCTTTTTCTTCCTTGGTAATTTCAACTTTAATACATACCAAGGTTTATATAAGGCCTCCCAAAATTTGCGCAAGATATCAATTTGGCGCCATTTGTGCAGTAATGTGTTGACAAATCCAAAGAAAAAAAACAGTTTCCAGGTGAGCGTTAGTAAAAACTGAGCATTACGCGAAAAAGCAACAAGGTTTCATTATTCATTGATATATTGATATATTCATATATAATGGAAAATAAGTTTGGCGATCACAGTTGGGCCTTATTTGGACCATCATTGGACCATATTTCTTCTAAAATAAGAATGGTCAAGTAATGGCTAATGTGTAGTAGTGGTCAATATCGCACTATGATAACCCAATTCTCTGCGTAAATTAAACAACATTGATTGGAACGATATGTGGTTTTATAAAGACCTGCCACTTGCCATACATTCCGTTAAACAATTCAATTACTGAATGAGGCATATCCTGCTGGTATACTCTCGTTTCATTGATCACAATTCGCCCCATAGATCATGTGATTTAATACCACTGGACTTATTTTTATGGGGTTATTTGAAGTCAACGGTCTATATCAAAAAACCCACAACCGCCAGTATTTTAAAGGAGGAGACTCAGCGCTGCGTCAACGAAACTCACCTCCATTTATACGAAATGGTAGCTCATGGTAGATTTCGATGAAGAAGTGCGCATGCGTCAGCAAAGTCATGAAGGCCAATTGCCTGATATACTATTCCACCCATAATCCTATCCTATGCACATTGATTCTATAAATAAATTACAATTATAACAAATGTCTTTTTCTTCCCTGTTTCAAATTTTGAGCCACGCTTTATATACCTATTTTTACGAAAACATGTACAGTGAGTCTCATTTTGGGTTTTTTCGCTCTACAAAAAATACACGCTTGTTAAAGCTAGTCCATTGTCCAAACGTAAAAATGTATTTTATTATTTTGTACTACTAAGGTATACACATTAAAAAAAAACCAAGCAAAATGTTATTCCAGTAAACAAGAGAATTAAATAACTTCAAAAACATAGCTATTAATGTTAGGTTTTTTTTTCATATGCGAAGAAAAAGCAGCATCATATTAAAAATTAATATTTGGTAGAGTATCCATTTTGACATATTTTGTATAATTTTTCTTACGTGAAAAAAAGGGATCTGACGACTTTCCTCTTATAATCTGGTTTTTAGAACTGAATGCATCGAGTGTTTTCGCACATGGCGGTCCAATTCATCACATATTTTGCGTAGGGTTTATGCCTGGTGATTTTTTAAAGAGGATGGAGGACTTTGGGGTAGTTGTGTAGGATCCATTATTGACTTATGCTTGAGATCGTTATCTTGGTGATATTTGAATATTTCCAAAACAGCAAATTTATCCGCGCTTTCTTTCAAATTTTGCTTCAATATCGTTAGATAACCCCCCCTGTTTAGAATATCGCCCCTAAACACCAATTTTCCAACTCCATTGACTTCAATGTCTACACAAATTATGCCATAGCCATTGGCATATGCAATATAAAACTGCGTATTTTTAGTGCAAATCAAGATGGTTTTCGCAAGTGAACAATGGACACTGTCTATCGATTTACACATAGACCGAAAACAATTATTACAATGAAATGTTTTTTTAATTGATGGTTATATTTAGAGAGAAATATTGCAGTATCACATGTTTGTAAAAATTTTACGTACAACAGAAAAAACAAAACAATAATAGAAAAACCCTTGTTTTGGGTTAATATATCTACTTTTTATGTTTTTCTGTAAAAAGACATAAGAAAATGAAGTAGCAGATACGTGTCTTAATGATAGGGGTGAAGAATTTACATATTTGGTTACTTATGATATATGGTCGGCTAAAAAAAGTTTTTTTTTTAATTAGTTTTTCTAGATTGTCTTTATGAAACAAAACCAGTGTATAGTATTTGCTGCCAAATAATAAAGATGCGCAAAAATTATAAGAACCCATCAAAATCTCGGAATCAATAATATTTTCATTATCTTAACGAATTGTCATTTCACCTTTTAAATATCACCTAAAAAAATAAAACATGAACTTATTAAACAACTTTCTTTACCAAATGAAGAAAACAGGGAAATGCATTTTTCTCCTTTTTTTTAAGTGCATTTGACAATTTTAAAAATGAAGAATTCTGCTTAGATGGTCCTACCTGTTCTATGTAAGTAAACATATATAACGAATACTTATTTTAAATTACACTTTCACTTTATGTAGACAATAGTTTGTTGACTTGCTCCGTTGTTGTATTACATTTTAATTATTTTATGTCTCAAATGCTATTCATTTTAAGTACATATGTCGCTTGACCTACTTGCGTTACAATGTGAAGGCACATACTAGTGACAATATATACTCTTCCGCCTTGAGGACTGCTTTCTTAAATATTTTTATATTATATAACAGTGCTATATATACGTATTTCTTTGATTAGTCATATTCTATTGCTTCTTACCGGAACTCTCAGGAATTAGGAATGGAAATTTAGCAAAACTTTATAAGTACTTACTTACACTACAAATTATAATTATATACTACTTCTGATTTTTGGAGTTGTTTAATAATTTTTAACGAATCTTTGAGCCGATTTCTCAATATTTCAAGCTTGCACGTTGACTTTGATGGATCCTAAGTGCAAAAACTTTAGTTCTCGTTTTGTTGATTCAATGCAACGTTGCGTAATTTAATAAAACGAAAAAAGTAACTACAAACACGAACTGGTTTTAACAATTGGACTGATTTTAACAATTTCGGGATTTGGTTCCTCGAGAGTCATGGAAAAAAGTTTACAACAATTTTAGTTGAGAGAAGCTTTATAGAATAACATGGCTAAATCAATTCCACTGGTGAAGAATGTACTTATAAGGTGTGGGTTTCCGGTAATATTTATGATATAGATCTTGAAATATATTACGTTTGTGCGTCACTCCGTAGCGGTTGAATTTATTTTTTCACTCTCATCGAGATCCCTGAGATATATGAAGTTTTATTAGAATTTTTCCATAAAAGCGCGAGACACGCCGCAAGCCCACTGCGCAGCTTGCAGTGAAAGTGTCCGAAAGATTGTATATAGATTAAAGCACGACTTTCACTCGTTCAGATAGGGAGTAGAAAAATAATTGCAATATTGACTAACTGGCTGTACCAAAACTTTTCTTACAATAAGCCAAATGAAAGCTTGTAACTGATCAGAAGCGCCCAAAATTAGCGAAAAACCTATCAAAGGTTGGTTAAAGACTTTAGCGACTTCTACTGAAGGAGCGTAACGACGTACTTAGGCAAATGGTTGCAAGTAATTAAATACAGTGAAATATATTTAGTTGAACAAGATCGCTTGTTTTGCTAAATATTGTGAAAAACTTTACCTTCACCTAGGATTACTTATGTTATGGTTCATTTTTTGAGAGCGCGGTTAGCGTAAAGGTAGGAAACATAACATTATTTTAGGTTTTATAATATATAAAAGTATAAACTGCGTAATATATTTACTCTGTATATATACAAACAAATTGCCCTACGTAAACTTAAGATGTAAGCACACATTTCATTATATAACGAAAACGACTTCTACACACAACGTTAACTAGTAGACATGATATTTTCTGATTTAAGGCTACTTTTGAAATTTTGGAAACGTTTAATCGAGTCTCTCCTGACTTAAGAGAAAGAGAATAAGCTAGCATGTAGGAAATAAATTAATGTTTTCTTTTTAACGCTAATAGCATTAGTTACTGGGTGTAGTGTTCTCCAAAGGATACAAATACGTAAGGATGGCATAATAGTGACAAGTAGCAGCAAATACCACAAATAAATGCCAAATTGCATGGGCCATTGGGATGATGCCATCTGACTTGAAAAAATAAACTCCGACAATATACAGAAAACCGCCAAATTTAAGCTCGGTCATGCCATGAAACTGGTGGCCTGCAGAAAGAACCGCTACTGCTGGTCCGAGACCCATAATTACATAAAAGCATGTCTCTAAACATTTAAAACGTTCATGAAACAACTGTAATCAAAAACAGTTTTAAGTTTTTTATATTTTTAACCAAAATTTGCCAGCAAAAAAAGCTGAGCAATACATTTTACCTGCTGATACGTTATTCCAATTGCAGCCATTACCCATATCATCCATTCCATACAAACTAAAAGGCTCAAATGACGAGGATTTTGAAGTTGTAACCATGGGAAATATGAACCAGCAATGAATATGTAAATCATAGCTCGATCACAGCGATGCAAAATATTTCTAATGCCACTAAAATTACTGACTATTTTTTTCTTTTCGAATATTTGATGTTCAATAACTTACTTGTGGTTTGTACAAAAACAAGAGCAATGGAAGAATGTGGATATTATAAACAACATTGTTAGAGCACCCCCATACACCCAACATACAAGGTACTGACTCGAATTTTTTGATCGCTCGAATAGCTTATTAGCGCATACAATTGCCGGTATTATCCAGATGCCATGAGTAATAATATTAGCCAACTGTTCGATCTAAGTGCAATAAAAGCTGCAAACATTCACATAAATTTTCATTTGCTAAAATATGTTTTCTGACCTTTGTGGGTTGATAAGCACAATCTGGCGTAGCCTTGTCGTTTTTCCATCGAACGTTTCGCAAATGAAGTTTAAAAGTTATATTAGATTTAAACCATGATCTCCAGAGTTTAGTCAGCAGATTGTTCAAAAATGAGTACTTATTATGTACTTCTTGAACGATTTTATTCATTTTGTTTGTAATTCGCCTTTCTTTTTGAATCCTTGACATCCTATCGCAGCAAAACCGTATAAACGATTAGGTAATTATATATTATTTTAGGAAATCAATTACGTTCGATATTACATAACAATATTGATGAAAATAGATCGATGTCCTTTAAAGCTTAATTTTTATATTCTTTCTTTCCTGCTTTCATTGTGTAAATAAATCATTCCTAAGTCATATATAGAAATTTTCTTCCCACTTCCTAAAAATACAAATTAGTGTCCTTATACACAAACTAACATAAAGTACATAGCTTAGTTTTTATACGCACAAATCACGCATACAATTAGATGTTAGCTTCTAATACGGACACCTTACATCAGTATATGTGAAACATTTTCTTTAAATGCTTTCACAGAGAAATACTTCATATTCCTGGACTGCTTATAAAAAGAAAATTTTGCATACGGGATTTGAGCTGATCGTTACACATTGAAAAAACTTGTTACATTTAAAAACCGAATTTGTCTAACCGACGTACGAGACAGGAATTCCCCTAGAATAGACAACCGTTTGAAAATCTTCTTCTGCTCGTACGAGGCAGCAAATCAATAATAGATGTTGAGTTGAGTAAAAAATGTTCTGGCTTCTTTTCAGTTGTCGAATATATCTTTTTGAAAATCTCTTCGAAAATTAATGAACTACACTAAAAGATGAAGTCCCCAACGCGATAATCAAAACGAAATAAATTCATTGCATCAAAATTTGAACACCATCAAATTGTTTTAATACGTAGACCTTAGGTATCTTCATCTTTTAATGGTAATATAGAAGCCTTGGAAGAAATATTCTGTACATTGCACTGAATAGTGAAGTATGTAGTATCTAATACATGCACAATTTGTTTAAAAAAAAAAAACCAACCCGTATACTCGGGAATAGCGACGTACCGGCTCCTTTAATACAAGAGTGAAAGCAGCTTTATTTTTTACTAACACGTGGATCTTATGAACGGAAAATTGTAGAACAAAACCGTAGAATTTATTTTTAAGAGGATGACTATCTTACGGAACTTTACCATATAGCATTTTAACCTTCGCAATAATGAAAAACAAGTCAACAAGTTGTCTGGTTCTGATTTTGCCATTGCAAGGATAGATTCCGAAGATAATTGAGGAATTTAAAATTCTCCTTTAACCGCTGAAACTACAAACAAATATATAAGACATAACTTGGTAACTAGAAATATTTCAAATGAATGGTCCTTGGTTTCGATGTTAGAATTTATACAACAAAACAGAACTGAAAAATAGGTAGTTATTAATATATATAGATAATGGAGAGGATGGTTTTTTCAGTGTAATGACAGTTTAAAGCAATAACCTAGCAGTAGCAGTTGCAAGCCTACTGCCTACGTAAACAACTGAAGTCAACGTGGGAAGAATTACTTGGTAATAAGCAATGATTAGATAGAAACTAAAGAATAAAATATTTTCTGAAAAATTTTACATTAAAATAACCATGTGTTCTTCAGTAGGCCACTTCTTGATTTGAGAACCCATTGTACATGTTGCTGAGAAGGTTACACCTTTTTGGAAGACTAACCTCAGCCTTTGGTTTACTCATATGGAGAGTCAACTTTTTACAGCTGGAATTACTTTGAATATCACCAAATATCATACACTTTTCGGTTCTATTGAACGTGTCAACTATCTTCCGGAAAAGTGTCAAATGATCTGTCGAAAACTTTGTGGTTGCGTCAACGATTAAAGCAATTTTGACAGTCAGCTCAGACAGCTTAGACCCACTCGTGATTATGGCAGACAAGATTAATGACCAATTAGGTTGTTCTTCTGTAAACACACTGATGTCGACAAATTCGAATGAAATGGTTTCCAACAACCAGGCCATAATCACTAAGTTGTCTAAATGTATCGACGGAAGTAAGTTCCAATATCGAATGCGAAATAAAAACAGAAGCCGCAGCGGCAAAAAAAATCACCTACGTCATCTGAACAATTGTGTTGGTTTCATTTCATGTTTGGAATTAGGGTTAACAAATGCGTTGAACCAATCAAATATCAATGTCAAAAGAAAACGCCTTATCGGTAGGATAACGAAGCTAAGCGTGTCAATGTACAACAATATTAGATTCAAAAGAATTATAACCAAATCCAGATCGTGTAAAAATAATTACAAAATATGAACTTCTAGGACACATACATGGTCTTAGGAAATTTTTTGATCTTATTAATTTTCATCCCGAGACAGTTGTTTTCATTGATTTAGAAAATGTCAAAAAAAAAGTAAAGAAATTAAATTTGGTCGGGGCAGAAACTTTTATACTCATCACCGTTGTCCTAAAAAAGACAAAAGAAGTAAAAGAACAAAATTTTTATAGAGAGTAATATCAAGTGGGCGCAGCTGATTTTTTCTATTTTCAAAATATCAGCTTTTGTGGTCGTTGTAGATGTGTATTTGGAAACGTTTAGCGCACACAGACAGATGGACAGATAAACAGATGATTAAAGTAAATTGAAAATTGGAAACTGGCCAAGAATTTGTATAGTTTATGGAGTTTTCGAAGCTTGTTTCTGCGCGTTGTAAAAATATTGAAAAAACAATTAACTTTTCACATACTCTAATATTGAGTAGGCGTGGTCAATTAGTTTCATTTTTGTACGCTACAGCATGGCCCATAGAATATGCGTTCAAATTTTTGTACGTTTAGTTGCTATAGTTTAATATAGAATAATGAGCAAAAAACCAATTTTTGATTTCTTTTGAAAAACAGGTGTTCTAAGCTTACGCGGAGCTGGGAATGTGTCCTTCAAACGATTCTAATGTTTCTGCCAAATTTGAAGTCGATAACTTCATTTTTGTGACCAGAAGAATGTTTAAAACAGACATTATACAGACGGGCCAATGGCAAAGTGTATATACTCCTCATTCTTCAGTGATGGGTATAAAAAACGATAAACCAAAAATTCTTCGGACAGATGAAGTAATAAACGCATCCGATTGTTTTAAAAAACAACCCCAACGCCTCACTTCTAAACTACGCGATCAAAGGATTACCTCCATCATTTTGGATTGACACTGCCAGATTTTGGTATGAAAGCAGTTTTTCAACCGCACTTTAATGAGTGTTGGGTAACGCTCTGTTTTTTCTCAAAACTGAAATACAAGGCGGCTATTGCAATTAGAAAATTTACTTGAATCCCCATCATACATCCTTGCTTTGAAGAAAATCAGATTACCTAATTGAAATTTAGAACTTCTTTCTGATTACTCTACGTCTGTAATACATCTATACGTGACAAAAATTTCGCAAAGTAATGTTTGATATTATAAATAACATTGTAATTCAAAATCTTCATTCAAAATGATTATTGAACGGTCCATGTTGCCATCAATTTTTGCATATCCTGTCTGAAATCAATAATTGGTAAACGTGCCAAAACGCCAATCGATAACATTTTAAACATATAAGCATGATTATCATTGATCCCTTATCTTCCCCAAAAATTACAGAGATTGTTTTACATGTATTCACAGATTCAAATTACAGCCAATCAAGGCAGACAATTTACATCCTCTCTATTTTGAGAATTCGCCAAAACTCCTCCATACAATATCGTATCATCGTTAAAGTAACACTCAAATTGAAAGATAAAATGGAACTTTGGAAAATGTTATTAAATGTCACAGTGATACAAAGTGGATAGATATTTCGCCGTTAGCACCGCTTGGAGGTCGCAGTTCAGTAAACGCTGATGCTGGTTACGTACCTGCTGAATTAGTCTATGGTGCAACTTTACAACGCGCTGGTCAATTCGTAATTCAAAAGACTTGGGCAAATACTGGTTGAGTAAAACATTTTGAGAGAATATCCAAAATATGCAAGCTTGCAGAATAACTCAACACGTTCCCGTGTTTTTAAAGAACGATTCCGTATTAAAACCTTTATAATAGAATTATACTGGACCTTACAATGCCAATAAACGAACTGATAAAACGTTTACTAAGGATACTACTAAGGATAGATACATTTTGTCAAAAGATAATTTCAAAGACGCTGTAAAAAATATATGTATTTATCTTCAGCACCAAGTTGTGAATCAATTTAAACATGTCCTTCTATTCGTCTTGATAATTTGTGTGGTAAACTAGGAACATGTACATTTTCGAACAGAAAAAAAAATCACTTTCTTGCTCATTGCGCACACCCTGCAATCGATAAAACAGTAAAAGTTTGTACGTATATTCTGTGAAAACAAAATAACGACGACATCCATCTAATATCATAGAGTTATGATAGAGTTTTATATATATATATATAATATTTACATGTACAAAATTATGGATGTAAAGACTCTAACTCACCGGAATATAATTTTCTTACTTGTTGTGTCGTATAGCCAATGTTCTACCATGCACATACGTGTGTCGCATTTGATTGTGAGATCAAGATGATCAAAATTTGTGGGCAGGAGAAATATACCAATTTCTGACGTCATAATCCTGCACTCTATTTTTTCTTTATGTCATTGTTTCAGTAGCAAAAACGAAATTCAGAGGAATACAAGAGAATGCAAAATATAAGGAGAAAACCTGGCTATAACAAGGTACCTACAATAAGCAATATGAAATGCACAAATATATTATTTGAAATTTCCTTACAATTTAGCAACTTATAACTAATATATAATATTTAGGAATTGTTGACGACTCGTTGGATCTATTTACTTGACCTTCGAAGTTAATCTAACAAGATCGTTAAAAATGAAAAAAATTGAGAATGCTTTTCGAAGTCTTCATCATGATTTCACCGGAACAATAGCAAGTAAAACCGGCTGAGTAAATATTTATATTTACGCTGATTGAAACTATTTACGTTTTATGCAGTCATTGATCCCTTTTAAGATTTCCAAACCAGTTTGAATTGACTGATCCCTGTCTACGTACACGCAGGTGTTCGACAAATTAAAGGTTGCCGTTTTTATACTAATTTTAATTGCATTTCTAATAAAAGAAAATAACTTAAAAAGTATCAAAGTTGAAATATTCGTGTGTCCTAAACAAACATACAGCGGTTGGAATCTGATTGGATTCAGAATTGAGTCAAACATTATTCGAATAACAAAATGTTCCTTTGATTACAAATGACATTGCAGTTCTGTTTCTGCAAACTAATAAAAGTAATTATTTCTTTCCTGTCAATTCTTTAATACCTACCGCCACTTGTATTTTAATTTGCGATTACCCACAAGACATCCGAATAATATAGACACTATGGATTATGCCTTAAATTTTAAAGCTTAATGTGTGGATCTAGAATAACAATGTTTTAATATACAAAAATAGATAAATTTTGCTAAAATAAATACATTACAATACCGTTTGAATCAACTCCCAATTTTTTTGTCTATACGTTCGTAGATGTGGATGCTGCTGATTTTTCTAGCTAGGCAACTATTCACATGTGAAACAAACCTAAATTTTTCAATAATCAAAATTGTATAAATTCAATGGTATCTTCGATATTTATGTTTTTTTATACACAAAGATTTATTGTGGAATGACTTACATTGAATGTTCTATTCGGGGTTTTTGCAAATGCTATCATTACAAAATTTTGTGCTAACATAAAGCATTATTTCATTTGCACAAATATTGTAACAAAGGTGGAGCTTGGAGCCAGTTAGATGTACGCATTTGTTGTGGAGCAGCAATACACATAAAGCGAGGTTTTTTCTTTTAGACTGGAAATATTTATAGGCATACTAAAACAAAGTAATTGTACATGTTGCGTAAAAGCAAAGCACAAAATGTACACCGTTTTTTATGTGACAGATATACGCAGATTTGCCGAAGAGTAGCCTATGAATGCGAATATTTTCACACAATTATTTTTATACAGTTTTATATACAGTTTTGCTAGTTTCTGGCATGTTAATCAACCACGTTTCTCTTGATTTATTAGGAATTTTTATTCAAGCCACATACTTGCTGTTGAACGATTAAGAGTTAAATTTCATTTTAATAAGGGCTGATATATATTTAATACGTATCTGTATCAGATATATATTTACATATGCATAATCGTAAATATACATACTTATACATATAGATACATCGAATAAACAATGTGAGACATTAGTAAGCCTTAAAGAAATAATTGAGATGGCATGTTAAGTAATTATGTTATCGATAATACCGCAATCGTAAATATCTATGGGAATTAACATAATGAAGCTTCACTTTGCTTTCGGTCTGGGAACAAAAGTTGAACATATGGAAATCGTTAAACATGAACACAATGAAGGCGCACGTCCTGAAAAATTGTTCAACGATTGTAACTGAAAATTAGCATACGTTTCCGGTTTTCAGGTGGTTAATCGCATATCTGAAAGTTAACTTTCGTTCGGGAACATGCCGATAAATGGTTTTTTTCTCGATCGCGTAAGACTTTCGTGTCATTTTCCTCGTTATCAAACATATGTAAATGAAAAAGCAGGCGAAAGGGAAATTTTGTTTACATTTGATTGTCATTGACAAAATCCGAAAAATAACAGCTGGTTCTCCTCTCGTACAAACCAACTGTTTATATACCTAATATATGCATATTTTTATTTTAATTATTAAATACGCTAATTAACGAAGTACAAATAATAAAAACTTCATAGTGAAAATGTTCGCTGCATTACTTCTTAATTGTTCTCCCAACCATAGAATCGATATACAAAAATATTCTTAAAAATGATTATTAATATTAGGCAACAATATACAATAGCTATAGTCTACTCCACAATTGGTTATGATATGGTTTCTCACTTTACTGAGAAAAAAGCCTTTTTGCATGAAGCTATAAGTTTGGGAGATATGGACTTTAATTTAGTGCTGATATAGACTCCAGGCGATTATTCTTAAAAATCAATTGAAAATTTATTATACTACCGAAAACGAAAATGAAGGTTAACTTTAATTTATATTTTAACTCCATCGGCTGTTTGTAAATTCTTATTACCACCGTTTTTATCACTCTACTTGGTGGTCTTTCTCACAAAATCAATCAAAGCCAGTTTGGCTAATAATTTTACTCCATGCAACTCTTTGGTATGACTTCTCAAGTTACACTGACAGCCAAGTTTTTTGTGAAATATCGCCCATTTTCATTCTTTGTGTACTTTCTATATGTGCTTGAAGAGATCGGCCCTTAGATTGAACGCTTGAGTACAAAATCAACTTTTATTTATTGTTTGCAGATGGGTTTTTAAGTATTCGAAGTTTGCAAATTCTTGTGGACAATATTGACACATATATTGCATCAGTTTTAGTATTCGACTGACCGTAAGTTTCTTATGACTTTCTCTAATCATCTACTTCTACAACCTTATAGTCTGCCGTTAATGATTTGGGAATCTCTTCATCTAGTTCCAGAAGATCAGACTAAAAACGCGATTTATGATACGTATATATGTCATATACGTATTTAATATGCTTACTTTACTGCTAATAAATATTTCTGTTAATTCTGAAATCGTTACATTCAAGTAATGCTCTCAGCTAACTTCCTCGCTAATTTCGCTTAATTTTACTTTGCAATGATACATTTACTTTGCAATCTTACATTTTATAGACAGACACGACATATTTTCTGCAAATTTTCCGAATTTAAATGTTTTTAATTAATATTTTATTTTCGGTTTGTTGGGATGAAACAAAGTAAGCCAATAGAGAAAGGGGTTTATTTACTTAACTTAAAGTTCTTGCTCGATACATTTTGTTGTTGTTTATTATTTTATTTTGACTCAGCTGTTTGCAAATAAAAAATTTTCTTCTTTTTCTGTTATTCAGCAAATTAACAACCGAAAATTCGCTGCGATGTATAAGGAAGGCCTAATGTGAACACTGAGCTCTTTGTTTGGGTCTTAGTAAAGTTGGGGTTAGATTTGTAATTTAATATTATTATTTATTTATTTTAGTTATTTGATTAAATTTTTTTATTATATTGCTTGTTTTACGTCCGCCACGTTATTTTTTATAACTTTTGTGAAAATACGCATATTACTCTTCCGTTCCGAAGGATACAACAGAAGAGCGAGGAGTAAATTCCGATGTGTAAAACGTAATGCGGTAAATGAGTGCAAAAATTATATGAAAGAATGGTGGATGTGAGAGCAAAAAAGTGTAAAAGAGAGTAGGTTCATAAATTGACTGTAAACGCTTATAAGTCTTGATGATATAATTTGAAAATGAAAAAATTGCGACGTAAGCTGTTAAATTTCCAGAAAGCAAAATGTCAAGACTGCTGTGGTCACGAAGACCGCTTATACTCAATTTGCAAAGTAGGGAATGGCGAATAGAAGTGGCAAAATTCGGACAGACAAATAGGATATGTGATCCGGAACTTGTAAGACTCCCCATGTACATAAAGGTTTATCTACTATGTTAATTTTGAATAGATGATCATTACATCTCGTTTGATTTAACATTAGTCTGACAAATTATGTCACGTCTAAGTCCGCAATTGATAAGCCAAGGGGCTTTATTTATTTTTGCAAATAAAGAGTATAAATGACGAACATCGCTGTTGCCAAGAAAGAGGTGAATGCTTTTTGTAGAGTGTGCTAAGAACTGTAACTGTGTATGATGGTCTGGAAAATGCCTTTTTATCTGCAGTGTTGTTGCTAGGAATGCCCATGTAACTGCGCACTCAGAGAAAATGAAAACAAAGTGTATCAGACTTGAGGCTATAAAATAAGGAACTGGTTTCTAATAAGTAGGGGTGAGATTTACACGAGATAAATTATTGTAAAGCGGATAACAAAGATTTACTGTCTGACACTATAAGGAATTTCTTTTGAACTTGAGTATTCGCTTGTGGATGGCTTCTAGCTCGCAACATCAGCCTTAGATCCATCAGAAAAGATGAATGAAAAATGTTTCCATTTTTTATTGACCAAGTTCGAGTGACGGTTGTGTACCTCGGTCGGAGTAATTGTGGATTTCCTCACTGGTAAAAAGTTAATTACTGATCGAAAATATTGAGCACCAAATTTAATTTTGTTTTTAGAATGTTGAGATTACTAGTTTTGTCAACAAAAATTTTAAAGAAAGAAGGGAGGAATTTAATGATACAAAGTTATAAATGAAAGCTAAGGCCGGATTATTCTCAAAAAAAAAAAAAATTCTTTTAGAGGCATAACATTTGCCATCAGTTCCAAGCTTAGTATGTGTGTAGAATTTATGCCACCAAGAACTAGGCGAAGGCATTTCCATTGGATTCTGCATAACCTCAGAAGGTCCTTCTTTGGGATGTCCAATTGGAATGAACAGGCGTATTTTAATTATGGTCTGATTAAGCTATTTGGAATTTATTTTGTTCTCAATTTACCGTTGTTTTCTTTTATAAACGCAACTTCTAGCCATCAATGCTAACTCAGAACAACCAAGAATAATACAAAACTAAACTCTTACCTTCATGTGATTAGCGTATGCAATATTGGTTTTATTTCTTTTTTTTTCGTAATCTTTGTTTTAAATACAATCCTGTTAAAAGTCGTGTTATTAATCTCGTTAGTAAATTAATTATTAGTTAGTACATTAAGTATGCGTAGAGCGAAAACTTTTGTCAACTTTTGTACTTGCGGTTGACGCTATATTTAATATTTGGTGATGGCGTGATCTATTAAAAAGAAAAAGATGGTCACGCAGAGGAATAGCGATGACCATGGTAATTGTTAAGGTCATTGTTTCGAAGAAATTGACTAATAAATCGAAAAGGGTAAGTAAATTAAGAGCTAAATAAGAGCTGGACACAATTAAGAAAACAGTGAGAACACAAGAAAAATGCCAGAACTTAAAGAAAACAAATTAAAAAGAAAACATTCACAAATAAATCTATTGTAATGTATGTTACTTAAATGAATAATATATATATATAAATTGATTTGAAGATTGTTATTATTGCATGTTAAATTACACTGAATTGCAATAGGTGCAGTAAGCTGTATGTGAGCTACAACTACAACTATTTGCACATATATTTATGAAAGCATACACACAACTGCATTTAAATTAACGTTATGTCAGAAGTGCACCGAAACTATCAATATATATGGATAATTTCTTCTATACATAACAAAGGTACTTAGTTCCATTCTTCGTTACGTAATCAACTTCATTATTAACTTCATCATCTCTAATATCAATGTCATCATCTGCAGTAACAAACAATCGGCATATAAGGTTCTTCATCGTATTTATTTTACATATTTAGCATATGAACCTAACATAATTTAAGTATTCATACATACTTATACGTTATACTTATAACTTATTAAATCCGTCCCCTTCTACTTAATGTAGAGATATTGATATTGATTTTTCTATTAAAAGTAATATGAATTAAAAAGAAAAGAAAAAAATATATATACATTTATGTAAAAATGTTGTAATTTTTTTTTTTTTTTGGGTGAAGAAAACAGGTTAGAGGATCGTTGGACCAACTTTGGGTCTCCCATTAAAAATCATAGGCCGAGACCATAGCTAGGGCAGTGCACCGAACGGCCAAGGGCTTATGATCTTCGGTAAATAGGTTTCATCGGCTCCGTTTGTTTCTATACGGATAAAGCACGGGTATTTCCTTTATAAGCAACCGCGTGGGGACTGTTCGTGGGACACAAGTCACCGTGACATTGTGCGAAAAGTTTGAAAAAATCACTTGCAACTTGGATTCGTACCGGCTGTAGGTGTGCCCTGTGCTCGTTGTGTACATGCTTTTTTTCCTTTTTATTTTTTATACATGAGTTATTATTTCCTTTTTTTTAGCTTTGCTTATATACCTTATATTTTTTTTTAGTAATAAATAGTAAAAGATTGGTTTCTAAGAGTCAATTGAATTCGACTGTTAATTTATTTTAGCTCATGTATAAACTAGAACAAAAAAGCTGGTGAAGCCATTGGAAGGCGGTATAGACCATTCCTAACAATTTTGTTCACTCAAAAGGTTCGATGC